TGACAATTTTTACATTATTTACAATTATACTAAATTTGGTAATAATTGCTATCTCGTGTCAAAACTCCCCGTGACAGCGTTATATTTAGATACGCTTAAATGTCGTTCCTCTTCATATCCGCTGATTTTGTTTTTTGGACCTTTTTTTTTTTTTAACTTAATTAAATATATAGGTATAGCTAAACTCATTGGTTCATAAGTGAACTCATTGGTTGGACGTTAATGTTATTATAGGAGAACATACTAAATTATAGTATACAAACAACAACAAATGAATCAAATATATTTATTTTAAACTCTTTGTTTAAATAGAAATTTGTAACAACATATAAATTGAGTTATTATTAAGGATGTTAAAGTAGTTAAAACTGAGCAATATCAACTTGATTTAGAATTTAGATCGTAGCCATTTAAATTAAAAACTAATAGATTTACATTTCTATTTATACACCCAATAAATTATCAGAGCTAATACCAGTAATAAAGAATGATGATCAAATAATCAAAATTATTAAATGAAATAACGATTTTTACGTGCAAAACACTGGAATTTACCTTTATAAGAATAGACCTCTACGGTTTTTTTAAATAATAATTATCCAATAAACATAATAAAAACATCGCATAAAATACGTTACCTAACCCAAAGCACCTTAGTCACGCTTCTATTGAACATATATTAGACGCAATACCGATTTACCCTCTTTTATATCTTTTGAAAAATGTCTAAATACTTCAAATATTAAGAGGGACTTATGACACGAAACGGAAAGTACAGCGCAAATGTGAAAAATTTAAAAAATGAATATTTACTAAACGTGACAATACCGAAAATGTCAAAAATAAACGAAATGTAATAAATTATTAGTCATCCGTTGATCAAATTTTTGTACCCTACACTTTTTCCTCCCAACACAAGCTAAAAAAAGAAATCGCATGATCATATCACATAAACAATATTCAAAAATGTGAATATTTACGCATGCTAATATAATATAACAAATATTTTATAAATATTTTTTATAATAAAATATAATAAATATTTTATAAATATTTTTACCGTAATTAAATAAATATTTGTACCCTGTATTTCCTAGTAAAGATAAATCTTTTTAACCAGTGAAGGGTTATGCAGATAAGGACATTTTGTCAAGATAAAACCTTTAGTAAAATAAATAAAAATTTGAATGAATATCACATAGTCACGCCTTTGGTAAGAAAGCTTAAAAAGATACTGTAAATATATATTTGTAAGTTCACCCATTACGCATTAACGATTCTGAACATTTTTAGTTATTATTTTGTCCAAGAAAAGTATGCATTTATTAAGAAAAATAAAAAATTTTTTTAACAGAAAAGCTCCAAACCATTTTTAAAAAAAAAAACAAAAAAAAAAAAAATATATATAAAAAATGAAAAGAAAGAAAAGGCATCTAACGTAGTTTGTACGAATTTGTAAACCTTCGTTAGATTTTTTGTAAATTGTCCGATTAAAATGTGTACAAATAGAAAACAAAAAAGTCTAAATTAAAAAGTAATAGAAGTAAAAGTCTAAAAATGTCTTTTTGAAAATTAATAATATTTGTATAATAATAGAAATAATAATAAATAATTAAAATGATTAAATTACAATATAATGCAATAACTAAAAATTATTGCATATAGTCTCCCAAGACCATTCCAAACATTCGTCCCAAAAAACTATCCCTTTTATTAGTTGAAAGAAGGGGATTTGAATTTTCCAAAGTTTCAAAACAAATATTTGCCATGAATTTATGTACTTTAGTAGAAAAATGGTAATCATCCCAATAAAAATATGAATCATCATTATTAAGTTGTTCATTCACGGCGGATTTCGAAGATTCAGATTGAATTACAATTTCTAATGAGTCTTTAGTATCATCATCATCATCATCATCATCATTGTAATCAGTTCCATATATATCGGCGGCGGCATCCACACAATTTATGATTCCGAACCCGTTCATCCCAACTTCGGTTTGTAATACATCGAAAAATTTGTCGCACCTTAAATATATGATTTTTACATTGGTTTCCCGATTGAACTTTATTAAATGTTCAAGCAAATATTTATTATGTAATCCAACCATTTTTGAAATTTTTTCTTTTTCAATTGGGTCCATTGTTTTAAAAGCAGGAACTCGAGATAGATCTGGGAGGTTGGGTACTAACAATGTCGATATAGTAGGAATAGATTTTACAAGAAGATGGAGTGCGTCGATTAAGTGTTTGACTACGTCAAGCGGCTGTGCAGACATGTCGGAGAAGTAGTAATCGTTACCTGTATCCCATATCTAGCATTGAAAGATGGGTAAATTGTAGTTAGAATTATATGAAAGTTTTATACATACGTGAAATAAGAAAAAAATTTATTATAATACATACAGTAAATAAAGTTTTACTAAAATCTTTTTTATTATCTAATTTTTTCGAATCATTCTTTTTTAAAAGTTTTTTCATTATTTTAGAATTTACTTTTTTATTGAAGAATTTTTGTAATTTAGAGTTTTCGGTATTGGATTGTTCAGATTTAGTATTAGCAGCAATAAATTTTTCGATTTGCTGCTTAATCCCAGGTACATTAAATTTATGATTTTTCGTTCCTGTTGAACCTTGAACAAAGTTACAACTATTAAATTGTAAAAAAAAAAAAAATATTCGTTATATGTTAAAAAAAAAATACTTTATTAAATGTATAATATCATATTATTTGAGACAACTTACTCGGCAGTAGCACCTCCAAAAGCATAATTCAATAATTCAACATTAAGCCAGTCGGCAAGATATTCAACCCAAAGTTTTCCGTTACAAAAACGACCGGTATAATTGGTTTTTGATGGCCAGATATTGTTTGATAAATTATAGACATTACCTACATCTAAAAATTTACAAATTGAAGAAATGTCAGTAAAAATAATAAATTAATACGTGTATATTTACATATAAAAAATAATAATAAGTAAACAAACCTGTGAATGAATCCCCAAACGCGATAATATTGTTGTATCTTTTACGTGGCAACTCTAAATTTTTTACGAATTTAATTTTAGAAGCAATTTTAGAAGTAGAAGGTGAAGTGACATTTTGTGTTAAATTGTTAGTGGATTGTTGACTTGGCGGTGAGTTTTTTTGGTTTAGTTTTGTAGATTTATGAAACGGGAAAGAACTATTCGAAATAGTTTTAAACATTTGGAGTGGTGTTATAACGAAAGACATTTTTTGAGTGAGTAGAATTAGTACTTTTTTTTTCAGTCAATTTAATGGTGAAATATTTTTAATTGCAAACAAAAAAAAAACGATGGAAGGTGATTGCCTTTATATAATGATTACAGAATATGTCTTTATTTTATCTTTAATTCCATGTGGTAACATCATTCGATAATTTCGAGATATTATCTATAAATTGTACTACCCTAATAATGTGACTTGAAATAACTGCAGACTAAGCTAAATATAGTTCGATAATTCGAACAATGCAACTAAGATTTCCTTTTCGATATTAGAAGCTACTGCATATCAATTAATAATAAATCTTATTATGTATCAGAGTTTTAATTTTAAGTTGCATTAGAGAAAATAAATTGAGACAGAGTATAATGTTGAAATTGAGACCGAGTATAATGTTATTTAAGTGCTTCGAGATTTTCTAATCAAAATTTAATTTTTTTATTAAAATATATTCTCTACAAGTAGTAGAATTATTTTTATTGTATAATATTAAAACTTATTTCAATTCACGTTCAAAATTTTTTTTATATTATTTTTCTAGAACTTCGAAACATTAGATTTAATTATTTTGTAGACCAAAAAGGTAGTGATTTTTTTAAGCACATGGTTTAGTAAAACACATGGTTTATTTAATTGACGAATCGGAATTTCATGAAATCACTCCAGACTAATCGGACTACTATAAACAAAATAACAAGGATTATCCAAAATGATAACATAAAATTATATTAAATTTTATTTATATCGAATTAATAAAGACCTGGTAAAATGCAAATATGAGATATATATCTTGCATATTACAGTATCTAATTAATTTAGAAATATTTCATATTAATATTATCGAATTAATTTAGTAAAAATCTCATTATCGAATTAAAACCAATAGGTTTGTCTATTTTGCATTTAAAAGGCTATGCCCTTTTATAGTATTACTTAGTTACTGCACTGCTTATCTATATTATATCTTTAGAATGAATCAAATCGCATAGATAAGACTATTTCACGTGTTTTCGGAGCAATTATACAATTTATGATTTATTAAAAAAGAATTAATTTGTTTTTTTACGACGAACAGTCAATTATACTTTATTATGAACAAAATAAATAATATTAAGTATCTAACTAATCGTAAAATATTCAAATGAAATTATTTTTTTTGATTATTATTATTTTTTTTATAAATACAATAATAATGCGGTTTACTGTAAATGAATACAATCAAAATTTTCAAAATTCTATAATACAAGATTATACCAATAAAATTTTTAATATTCTATAATACACGATTATACCAATAAAAATAAAATTAATAATAATACGTTTTAATTTTCTTAAAGTTGAAACTCTCTTTTTTATTACGTGCATTCGTAGATAGCCGAGATATCAATTTCTAAGACTATTCTTTTCTACATGCGCTTATAATTTCCCAGATGTTAAGAACTTTCTTCACGAACAAACATTAACACTTTTTTTTTTTTGTTTACATGCGCTTACCAGTATGATTTCCTAGATGCATGGAACTTTCCTCACGAATTTCTTTTTTTTTTTTTTTTTTTTTGATAAGATTATTATCCATTTTTATATTACCATATTAGGCATCGGAAATAAAGTTCCTAAAAAATATAAACAAATGAAGGTACAAATTTAGATTTATTTTTCAAATATGGAAATACTACAATGTTATTACGTATGATTGTCATCGTAGATTTGTGTTACCGAATTATATCTTCCAATAGCTGATAGGCATACGTTAAAACCGAATATAATAATTTATCCGAATTCCTGGTTTTTAAATTAAATATTATCAAGTAACTTCTTATTATTTCTGATTAATCAATATACAAAAGAGCAATATATAAAAGGTCAATATACAAAAGATTAAAATTTAATTAATATTTAAAGGCCAGATACGTATTAAAAATTAATTTGATCAGGACCAGATATGAATATCACCAAATAAAAACCTGTAAAATTTACAAGGTTTTTTTTTTTTTTTTTTTTGACAGGATAATGTTTCATGTGTTAATACATTAATTACTGCGTACAATCAACAACTCAAATTATAATTGTATTTTTAGTTTAAAACTTTTTGTTACGATACACATTTGAATACTGATATAGGTGATAAGCATGTACTCATGCTAAATAAACTATTAATTCTCCAATAAATTTAAAAGAGAATTTCTATATGTACACTAATGTACTATATATATACACGTATAATCAATATCTCAAAATTTTGACTATGAAACTGTTTTTGGGACTTTAATAATAAAAAAAAATTCCTTGCTAAATTTTAATTTCAGATTTACATAATTTTAATTTAGATTTACATAATTTAAAAATAATACCCGTGTACAAACACTTAATTTAAAAATATATCGATAAAAGATTTGTTACATATTCATGGATATTCTAACAATTGTCTATCTATTTTATTTACTTATTGTACTACTCATTGCCAGTAATTATAATTTTTAATCTTTGTCAAGCCAATAATCAATTATGCCTGTCTTTAATGCGCGTATGTACATGTAATATTCATCCATTCTAACATACATAAATGTACCAATCTAATTCTTTTTTATATTAATAATTCTAATTCTTTTTTATAATAATAATTGTCTTGGCAATGTATCAACTCACCGGAAAATTATTACAATCATAAATAAGCACTAAAAAGGAAATTGATATGGTTAATATGATTACTCTTTTTTTTTTTTTTTTTTTTTTTTTTTTTTTTTTTTTTTATTACATAAATTCTGGAATAAAATAAAAAATTTAATCAAAGATCATTCGATCGATTCGATAATATAGAGTTACTTGGCAAACCTCAGATCATATTAGGATACCGAATAGTTTATTTATGTTGAACCTAGTGATTTAAACTATACTTGTTGACCTGAAACCTTTTTGCTAAAATCTGAAATTTTATGGTTTCGGATTATACTTTCCGAAACCCTTCTTGAAACTCGAAACTATAATTATACAATATATGGATTTTATTTGTGCAGCAACATAAATATTTTGTCAAATTTCTAAAAAAAAAAAAAAACTTTTTTTCAATACAATCGTGTTAATTATCTATGTCGGAACTTTTCGGACTGGATTTTTACATATAAAGTGATTGCTTGTCATGTGAAACATAAAAACCAATCATAGGTTTTAGAAAGTTTCGGATTACGTATAAATTTCGGGGTTTCAGGGTTTCGGAATTTTTTTTCCAAATCCGAAACTAGTTCGGATTAGTATTTCCGACTCTACAAAATATTGATTCGAAATCCTATTGGTTAATTTATGATAAATTAACCAATAGGATTTAGAATTAGTCAGATGATCAATATTTTGTGGAGTCAAATCCGCCCATTGAAAAGTCTAAGATGGTTCTCGATAGAACTCGACCAGGTTTTGGTATTCTCTTTACTCTAATAATGTCTTCTTTATTTTCGAAGGTCGAGTTTCGTGGTCACGTTATTTGGTTGTCATGTTTCGGGAGTCACGATCTAGGTATCACAAGGGTTCAGAATTATTGGTGGGTCGATTAGTTGTTTTGATCAATTTAAAGGCACTATAAACGAGGATGTTATATACTAATTTGAGCACCTTTACTCTAATTACTAAAAACTGGTTGTAACAAAAAATATCATGGGAACAAGATAAATTCGACTTTTCAACAAGACAATTTATAACAACAATTTTTATAACAAGGATGATTTTTAGCAAAATGATTTTATTCTTGGACACTTCTACTTTTATTATTTTTGAAGTTTGGAACTCCAAGAGTCGGCTTTATTGAAGGGAAATATTTATTCTATATATACTTTTCATTAAATAATGACCAGAGTCATTTGGGTCATTAGGTCATTTAGGTCATTTACATATATAATAATTTTATTGGTCAGATATCTAATATAAAATTATAGCTACATATAAAAGTCAAAATCTTTCTAAGTTAATCGATAATTCGTCTTAAGTAAACTTGTTCAGAAGAATAAAATATAATTTAATCACATTTTATTAAGTCATTTTTATGTTTACGCGAATAAATTTAAAATTTTTTTTATGCAAACGTAAACATAAAAATAACTTAATAAAAAATTATCAAAATTACATGAATCTTTTATTATATATGCAATTTGTTCTCCTGAAAAATTTTACTTACCCGTATTGTTGTGTAATAACGCGCAGGTGCGTTATTTAGAATCATGGCCCGAATTAAGCTTAATTTAGGCCGAAATTCCTAATTTAAACCCTGTGCATTATTATGTGACAATACGGTAAGACGCAATTATTGATTAACTTAGTAACATTTGACTTTAATATTATCGATCATATTTTATAAAAATTAATTTTGCCTAATAATCAATTTTGATTGGCTAAATGGCATTAAATTATCAATTAACAGAAGTTAAATAACCTTCTCATGTCATTTGGGTTTTGAAATGACTAATGACTAGTCATTTGTCATTTGAGTCATTTGGGTCATTTTAAGTCATTTACCATCCCTGATTAACAATCCTACGGGGTGTCGTTACTTGTGATACTTAAATCGTCCAATAATCTAAACAATGATACTATTCGTAATGTTACTTCCTATATAACTCGTCAAGAATACGGCTTTTAATTACTCAGTGAAAGGTCTATTTGGCCTCAATGCTTACTTCCTTTATGTTAATTAAGAGACCCAGTGTATTCTTTAATAAATAAAAAGAAAAACGTAGTGAGGAATCGATTATTTAATTAGCAAAGTTTTTATATTTTTGGAACTTAAGGATTCAGGATTTTAATTGATAACTTTATTTTGTAACTCGTCATTCGTAACTTGTCCTTTTGGAAAGGCAAAAAGGACCTATATTTATACATTTAGTTCACGAGGACTTATACTAAGTAAAATCTGAATAGTTAAGTCGCTCATATTTTTATGAGCAGTTGTTTACTCCTTCGCGAGCAGTTGCTTCGCCTGTGATTAAACCATCCCAGGTAACACGAAGCCACACTGCTCACATCGTTATACAATTTCATTCAATTAGGGCTTATTGGATATACTCCTTAGCCTCATTGCTCACCCTAATGTTTACATAGATTATTATTACGATTCTTAAACGTAAATAAAGGTATGAGCAGCCTAACAAACAAATAACTATATAAAGTATAATTGAAATAATAAAAAGATTAAATAATAATAAAAATAAAAAGATACGTAATAAAAAATAAATAATAAAAGAGAAGAAAAAGAAATAATTTAGTGAAAAACCCGTGACTCATAACGATACACTAATTTAAATTCCACTGACTGATCCTAAACCCTATTGGTTAATTTATCATAAATTAACCCGCCCATACGGGAAACCCCGAAACCCCGAAACTTATAATCCGAAACGTTCTAAAACCTATTATTGGTTGTTATGTTTCACATGACAAGAAATCACTTTATATGTAAAAATCCAGTCCGAAAGGTTCCGACATAGATAAGTAACACGATCGTATTGAAAAAAAGTTTTTTTTTTTTTAGAAATTTGACAAAATATTCATGTTGCTGCACAAATAAAATCCATATATTGTATAATTAGAGTTTCGGGTTTCAAGAAGGGTTTCGGAAAGTATAACCCGAAACCCGAAAATTTCGGATTTTAGCAAAAAGGCTTCAGGTCATAAGTATAGTATAAATCACTAGGTTCGGCATAAATAACTACCCGGTATCCTGAGGTTTGCAAAGTAACTATATTATCGAATCGGCCGAATGATCTTTTATTAAATTTTTTATTTTATTCCAGAATTTATTAAAATAACTGAAAACTAATCTATACGATGGACTATTCATTTCCGGTGGTTAATTATTAGCCATATCGATTTCCTTTTTAATGCTTATTTATTATTGTAATATTTTTCTGACAGAGTTGGTTGAACATCGCCAAGACAATTATTATTATAAAAAAGAATTAGATTGGTACATTTATGTATGTTAGAATGTATGAATATTACATGTACATACACATTAAAGGCAGACATAATTAATTATTGGCTTGACAAGGATTAAAAATTATAATTACTGGTAATGAGTAGTACAATAAGTAAACAAAATAGATAGACAATTGTTAGAATATCCAAGAATAACAAATCTTTTATCGATATATTTTTAAATTAAAAATTACTTAATTTACACTAAGTGTTTGTCCACGGATATTATTTTTAAATTATGTAAATCGAAAATTTAAAATTTAGCAAGGAATTTCTTTTATTAGAGCCCCAAAAACAGTTTCATAGGCGAAATTTTAAGATATTGATTATACGTGTATATGTACATTAGCATGAGTACATGCTTATCACCTATATCAGTATTCAAATGTGTATCGTAACAAAAAGTTTTAAACTAAAAATACAATTATAATTTGAGTTGTTGATTGTACGCAGTAATTAATGTATTAACACATGAAACATTATCCTGTCAAAAAAAAAAAAAAAACAAACCTTGTAAATTTTTATTTGGTGACATTCATATCTGGTCCTAATCAAATCAATATTTTATAAATTTTTAATATCTGACCTTTAAATATTAATTATATTTTAATATTTTGTATATTGACATTTTATATATTGCTCTTTTGTATCAGAAATAATAAATTTACTTAGTTTAAAAACCAGGAATTCGGATAAATTATATTCGGTTTTGCGAGCACTTAACGTATGCCTATTGGAAGATATAATTGGAAGATATAATTGGAAGATATAATTCGGTAACACAAATCTACGGATGACAATCATAATAACATTGTAGTATTTCCATATTTGAAAATAAATCTAAATTTGTACCTACATTTGTTTATATTTTTTAGGAACTTTATTTCCGATGCCTAATATAGTAATATAATAATAATAATCTTATCAAGAAAAAAAAAGTAAAGGAAAGTTCCATGCATCTACGTAGGAAATCATACTGGTAAGCGCATGTAAACAAAAAAAAAAGTGTTAATGTTTGTTCGTGAAGAAAGTTCTAAACATCTGGGAAGTTATAAGCGCATGTAGAAAAGAATAGTCTTAGAAATGGATATCTTGGCTATCTAACGAATGCACGTAATAAACAAGAGAGTTTCAAGTTTAAGAAAGTTAAATCATATTATTATTAATTTTATTTTTATTGGTATAATCGCGTATTATAGAATATTGAAAATTTTATTGGTATAATCGTGTATTATAGAATTTTGAAAATTTTGATTGTATTCATTTACAGTAAACCGCATTATTATTGTATTTATAAAAAAAAAGAATAATTCCATTTGAATATTTTACGATTAATTAGATACTTAATATTATTTATTTTGTTCATAATAAAATATAATTGACTGTTCGTCGTCAAAAAACAAATTATGACAATTCTTTTTTAATAAATCATAAATTGTATAATTGCGATTTAATTCATACTAAAGATATAATATAGATAAGCAGTGCAGTAACTAAGTAATACTATAAAAGGGCATAGCCTTTTAAATCCAAAATAGGCAAAACTATCGGTTTTAATTCGATAATGAGGTTTTTTTCTAAATTAATTCGATAATATTAATATTAAAAATATTTCTAAATTAATTAGATAATATGCAAGATATATATCTCATATTTGCATTTCCCAGGTCTTTATTAATTCGATAAAAATAAATTTTAATATATTTTTATGTTATCATTTTGGATAATCCTTGTTATTTTTTGTTTATTTAAGTTATATTAGTCCGATTAGTCTAGAGTGATTTCACAAAATTCCGATTCGTCAATTAAACCATGTGCTTAACAAAATCACTACGTACCTTTTAGGTTTACAAAATAATTAAATCTAATGTTTCGAAGTTCTAGAAAAATAATATAAAAAAAATTTTGAACGTGAATTGAAATAAGTTTTAATATTATACAATAAAAATTCTACTACTTGTAGAGAATATATTTTAATAAAAAATTAAATTTTGATCAGAAAATCTCGAAGCACTTAAATAACATTATACTCTGTCTCAATTTATTTTCTCTAATGCAACTTAAAATTTTGATTCATAATAAGATTTATTATTAATTGATACGTATGCAGTAGCTTCTAATATCGAAAAGGAAATCTTAGTTGCATTGTTCGAATTAGAGTTAATACCTGGATCCGGATCCTAATTATAAGATCCGGATCTTATTATGAAGATCCGAATCTTAATAATAGGATCCGGATCCTATTATTAAGATCCGGATCCGGATTTAGTGATTGTACCCGTATTTAAGAGTCACTCGGGTAACCCGTCTAAGACCTGTAACCGGGTCATGACTATTGCTACTCGGGTAACCTGAATAGTGTTGGATTGTAAATTAGTGTCTCGTTATAAGTAGGGATGGGCAAATCGTGAATTTTTCAAATTTTCTGCGCAGGCTGCGCAGGCTGCGCAGCCTGCGCATTAAATGCGCATATCATATAGTAGAGATTAGGAATAGGCCAATACGCATGGGAATATTTCGGAAGTTCCGGAATATTTCGGAATTTTACAATTCTGGCCTGCATTAGCAATGAACTATCATAATGCGGGCCTGTGCAGGCTGTGCAGTAAATTAAAAAAACCTTCAATTTGCCCATTCCTAGTAGAGATATAATTCTCCTAGTGAAACTATTAAAGGGATGCTATTTGGCGCTATAGAGATATATTTTAAAAAAATTTTGTATAGATTGTATAGTCTAGATAAGATTTATAAGTTAATTCTAAAGAATTGACTACGTTAATTTTAATTTATAAATAAAATTTGAAATTAATTTTATATTTATATTAATCTTATTTGAGTTTATTAACATATAATCTTAATTTAAAAACATAATAGATTTTACCAGATATAATTTAAAATTTTAAAAACATAATAGATTTTGCCAAATATAATATAATTTAAAATTTAAACTAAGCTTATAAAAAATTATAAAAATTTTTTAAAAAAATTCATATACTAGATTTTGCCAATGATGTAATTTTAATTTTTTTTTGATTTTTAATTTTTTAATTTTTTTTAATTTTTTAATTTTTAATTTTTTTTTAATTTTTAATTTTTTAATTTTTTTAGTTTTTCAACCAATTTAAATTTAAATTTTATACTAAAAATATTCTATTTTAAACTAATAATAAATAACAATTTATTATTATTATTTAATTAATTTTCTTCAATATCTTGTTCAAAACTTGTATCAAAATTTTGAATATTATTTGTTTCAAATTCCATATCCAGTTCATTTTCATTTAAAAAATCTAACTCATTATTATCTAAAATATTAAATTCTTCTTCATCTATAAAATCTAATTCTTCATTATCTAATAATTCTTCATCATCTAATAATTCTAATTCATCTTCATTATTGCTAAAAAAATTTTCCCAATAACTATCTTCTGAATTTGATTCATTATTTTTAATATTGTCTAATTTTTTTTCATTAATATATTGAGAAATTTTCAATCTATAATTGCTATAAATATAAACTAATTTAAATACTTTTGAAGATATAAGTCTATTTCTATTTTTTGAATGAATATATGAAAAAACAGACCAATTACGTTCTGATGCTGCTGATGATGTTGGAATCATTAAAATTCTTTTAGCAAACTGAGTAAGTTCTGGAGCTGAATATAAAAAATTTCCTGTCCACCAAGTAATTTGATCAGTTGTATTAACTGTTTCCCAAGCCATATTATTATTAAATGGACCAGTATAAGCTAAGTATTCTAATAATTGACTATAAATCTTAGTACAAGTTTTTGGATAATATTTTTCAATAAAATCTGATACTGTTGTCATAATATCATTAGCTAAACTTTTGCCTTGAAATCTTGAATCTAATAAATATGCTATTTCTATTACAGGATCATAAATTATATTCCATCTTTTTGTAATAATATCATAAATCTTTTCATAATCAAAACTTTTATGTAGATCTATAAATAGTATTAAATATAATTAATAAAAAATATAAAAAAATAAAAATATTATTATATAGTAAATAATTATAATATTTTTAATTTTAAAAAATTAATAAATATTAATTATAATAATTATAATATAATTTTAATAATAATAATTTAATTTTAAATAATATTATTTAGTTATTAAATTTAATTAAAATTATATAATATTAAAACTTACTTTCATTTGTTTTAAGAGTTTCATACCATTTATAAAATTGAGATAAATTTGAAGTATCACTTTCAAATAAAGTTATTCCATTTGCTAAAACTTTTAAAATAGCTAATAAATTTTGAGCTTCATCCCAAAAACTATTATCTTGAATAATTTCTTTAATCTCTAAGTCTATAGTAGTAGTTGAATGATTAATAAGTTCAGTTGCTGCTAAACTAATTGCTAATTGATTAGATTTAATAGAATCTAAACATATTGCTGCAGAACCCCATCTAGTTTTAACTGGAAATTTAAGTGTTTTATATTTTAAACCATATTTAGTTTGTTGATATCTTTTTAAAATTGCTGCAGGAATAATATGTTGTCTAAAAAATTTTATAACTAATATTGCATTTGATAATATTTTTTGTGCCCAATCTAATTTTACTATATCACCAATGAGTAAATTAATACTATGAGCTAAACATCCTAAAAATATAATTGTTGGATATTTTTTAGCTAATATACTCCAAGACTTTTTCATAACAAAAGCATTATCTGTTATAACTGCTGAAATTTTTTCTATATTAAGAGATTTAATAATATTTTCTATTTCATTTGCAATATTAATACTATTTTGCTGAACTTCACCTGTTGGTTTAGCTAAAACAAAAACAGGTTTTGGAATTGCAAGAAGATAATTTGTCCAATGTTCAGCTACTAAATTTGACCTAAATATATAAATAAAAAATATTAATTTAATAATAATAATAAATAAAAAGTATAAATTATATTTTTTACCAGCCATCACTAATAATACTAATATATTCAGCTTCTTTAATCATGTTATCAACATCAGTTTTAGTATCTTTATATACCTGTTCTAATAAAGTAGTTGAGAGTTTTTTTCTACTTGGTAACTTAAATGATGGTCTAATTTTTTTAAACAATTCTTGTATAGGCTTTAAAGCTGATAAGGAAAGAGGTAAACCACACTGAAAAATAGCTTGAGCAAATTCTAGTTCAATATCATTTTGCTCAGATGGTGAAATTCTATCAACAAAACTTTGTATATTTTGGTTAAGAACACTAATTTGAATATTTTTAGATACTGAGTTAAAATATTGTTGTTTAATATTAGAATCTATAATTTCACATATTTTTAAATGTCCTTCACATCTTATAACATTATCATTGCATTCATTTCCACAATAATTGCATTTAGCACGTGGTTGCTTATAATTTTCAATTATTCCAAGTTTTGTAAAATGTTTCCAAATTCTATGCCCCATTATTTAAATTTTATAATAATTTATAATTTATTTAAAACTACTTAAATTGAGTTTATAAATTTGAATTTACGAAGTAAAATAATTATAAAACTAAATTTATGAAGCAAATAACTAAAAATCTAATTAAATATATTTATATATAATTTAGATACGTTCTATTCTTTATGTAATACAAAAACAATTTACATAATTATATCAATATTAATTTATTAAATTTAATTTATCTATTTATAAATAAGATATACTAAATATTCTTCGTAGAAGATAAATTTAAAATTAAAATTAATACTAATCTGAAATAGTTCTATTTGATAAGCCAATAAAATATTAAAAATTTAAAATTAAAATTAATACTAATCTGAAATAGTTCTATTTGATAAGCCAATAAAATATTAAAAATTACTAGTTTCTAAAATTATTCGAATTACCTATTTTTTTATGTCGCTAATTAATTAAAACAATATCACGATAAGAGATAATAAATAATTAATTAAAAATTTATAAAACAATATAATGATAAGAGATAATAAATAATTAAATAAAAGTTTGTAAAACAATATAACGATAAGAGATAATAAATAATTAATTAAAATTTTGTAAAACAATAACGATAAGAGTTAATTAAAATTTTGTAAAACAATATAACGATAAGAGATAATAAATAATTAATTTAGAAATTGTAAAACAATATAACGATAAGAGATAATAAATAATTAATTAAGAATTTTAAAACAATATAACGATAAGAGTAGAAATGAGCAAATCGTGAATTTTTAAAATTTTCTGTAAATGCGCATACCATATAGTAAAGATATAATGTCCCTCGTGGAACTACTAAGAGAATGTTAGTTGGCGCTGTAGAGATATAATTAAAATAATTTTGGCATAGATTAGAGATACTAAAAAATTATTAAAGCCTAAAAGGGCGTAATCAATTTTTTTTTTATTTAAAAAAAAACTTTATTTTATAATATTTAGATTCTATGTCTGATGCAAAAAATAGATTTTGGGCTTTTCTTCTATTTGGGCTCACATTTTAATAAAACGAGCAAATCAAATAGAGAAAATATGTATAGTATGTTTTATTGTTGAATTTGTTAATTGTATAAAATATTTGATTTACTAGCTGGCATTATATTCTTGCTGACTAGAATTATGCAATAGGCCCGAATTATGAAAATTACACTGCGCAGGCTCTCAAAATTTCTGCGCAGCCTGCGCAGGCTGCGCAGTGCATTACTGCGCAGGCTGCGCAGTGGCCCATCCCTAGTTATAAGTCACGAGTTTTCATTAAATTATAATAATTAAATGATAGAAATATAAAACATACAAAGTTAACCATTGAACGACAAGTCCAAGCATCCTCCCTATTTCTCTTTCTTTTCTTTTATATGTTATTTATTTATTTATTATTCTTTTTATTTATTTATTATTATTTAGTCTTTTTATTATTTCGATTATACTTTATACGTATAGTTATTTATTTATTAGACTACTCATATCTTTATTTAAGTTTAAGAATCGTGATAATAATTTATGTAAACATTAGGGTGAACAGTGGGGCTAAGGCGTATATCCAATAAGCCCTAATTGAATAGAATTGTATAACGATGTGAGCAGTGTGGCTTCGTGTTACATTGGGATAGCTTAAACATAAGCGAAGCAACTGCTCATAAAGATATGAGTGACTTAATTATATAGGATTTACTTAGTATAGCCTTCACGAACAAAATTGTATAAATATAGGTCATTTTTGCCTTTCCAAAAGGACCAGTTACGAATTAAGTTATCTATAACAATTAATAAATAAATCACTATTACTTCACATTAAACATCTTCAACTCTCCTAAAAATATTGAATTACCTTAAAACCCGCTAAATTAAATAATCAATTCCTCACTACATTTGTTTTTTTTTTTTCTTTTTTAAACCTCACTATGTTTGTTGATTAAAGTATATGCTGAGTCTTTGGTTAACATAAAGGAAGTAAGCATTGAGGCTGAATAGACCTTTCACTGAGTAATTAAGAGCGTATTCTTAGCAACCTATACTGAGAAATTACGAATAAGATAATTAGTAGGATAATAATTTAACTAGTAAATTATTTAGATCAGTAGAATAGTTTAACTGATTAGTTAAATAGTCAAATATTTATTAGATAGATAAGTGATC